GATAATTAAAATTATTAAATTTAAAAATTAAAAAAAATTAAAAATACAAATTCCTACTTAAAAATACTCTCCCAAAGAACATATTTTAAAAAAAGAAACGGGAAAATAAACGAAACTGAAACTAGAAAACAAAAAACACATAGGTTTGAAATAAGGTTAATAAGCAGAAGAACATTAAAAAAGGAAAGCTTAAAATCTAAGATAGAAACTAATCTGCTTCAACATATTTCAACAGGTATTGAATTTTAGGCCTACATGTGATCATCGATTCATTTCTCTTGTTTAATAAGTTTTTAAGTGTTTTAATTTTTCTCCAAGGCATAAATTACATCTATTGCCTTTCTCATTGCAAGATTTGTTTTTAGCTATAATATCTCACGTGGTTATCATGTGGAATATTGTAATCACGTGAGATTATGACTCTCAGTCGTGATACCAGTAAGAAAAAAAATATATATATATATATATATATATATATATATATATATATATATATATATATATATATATAATATTTTTGACATAAAATCAACAAAATATATATATATACATATATATATATATAAAACGATAGGCAGCATATAATTTATATACAGAAAGAAATAATCAAAATAGAATCAATCAAATTAATACTATTATTGGCGGCATCCATGGATGTCGCCAATAATTTTATTGATAATATTGATTGATACTATGTGTGATTATATATATATATATATATATATATATATATATATATATATATATGTGTGTGTGTGTGTGTGTGTGTGTGTGTGTGTGTGTGTGTGTGTGTGTGTGTGTGTGTATGATAGACTCTCCCGTCGTTTTCGACGAATGAGTGCGATTCAGTTCCGTTTTAATCATGTACCTGTCTCTGTCGCCTTAACTCTCTCTCTCCAGTGGACTTTTGCTCAGGTGGAAGAGCAAAGAAGGAATACAGAACTGAACTGAAGACTATCCACTTTAAAAAGATTTGTTTAGAGCGGTGAAGGCTTGTGTAGAACCAGCCACATTTACTGGAAATACTGATATATATATATATATATATATATATATATATATATATATATATATATATATATCCGTCCGTTTCGAGAGACAGTGGATTTAGCGCGGTGCGCTATGAGACTGGGCAGGTTATATGGAGAACTAGGGCTGCCCGGACATATAGTTCCCCCTCTAGGCCTTGCTAGCAGAGTCTAAAGGAGAGGATAAACCAATACAGTTTGGTACCAGCGCGGCTGCAGGAGTTGGCGGAAGGTAGCACAAAGTGCCGTCCATCCACCTTAGGGGCTCCACTGCGGGTTTGAATTTAGAGTTGTCCTTCTCCTAGACCAGTTGCCATCCAAGGCTATAGAACCCAGTCTGCCCTGCTATTTACCCATAGCTGGAGAGAGAAGAGGATTCACGCCTTTCCCAAGGGTATTAGCACGTAAATGAATGTAATGGATTCGACTGGAATTCGAACTTGGCTCAATCCAAGCCGCTATTCATTACTCCACTGTGCCTCCTCATATATATATATATATATATATATATATATATATATATATATATATATATATATATATATATATATATATATATATATATTAAGAAATGGACAAGGTCCGACAATTTATTTATTAAAGACATTTTTTTTATGTTTAACGTTGTTATTTAAATACAAGTATTTAAGCAAATGTCTGATGATAAACAGTATTAAATAACGTTACTTTGCAAAAAGAACGAAAATTTTATAAAAAAATATTCGTTCTTTGACAAAGAACGAATATTTTCTATGAAAATTTTCGACATTCAGGCCAGTAAATGTTATTTAATACTGTTTATCATAAACAGAGCATTTGCTTAAATACTTGTATCTATAAATAACAACGTTAAACATAAAAAATGTCTTTAATATATATATATATATATATATATATATATATATATATATATATATATATATATATATATATATATTGAACATTGTTGACGTAAAACTCAACACTGCATGACCTAAGAAGTTTTCATGTAATACTTCTCTTTGAGTAGATTTCATATATAAGTATTTAATGTGTACTACCTTTACCTCAGACAAGGACATTGATTCAGGTAACCTGTTTAAGAATTGAACTTAGCATCAAGAGATTACGATATTGGATACCCAACCGTTGCTCTAAGATTTTGAAAAAAAATAACAGTTTGTTTAAATTTGGTACCTTTAGTGAAGATCGAACTCACTCCAATTGTAATGTATACTAATTTAGTTAGTCTGGAAAGCACTTAGTATAAAACCTCCAATGAAGATGGAATTTTTGACGGTAATGGTTTTCTATGAGGTTTGCTAGCAAATCGCTTGTTTTAGATTGGGTGAACTCCAAATAATTATGACTAATAATCAATGTGTTGTGAGCTGAAATCAGCTACACAGCCAACAGTCTCACCTTTTGGTTTTGCCAGCTATGTTTGATTAATGTAATTTCATTAAAGGTTTGTATTAACGCCCGAACAAAATGGCGATTTCTCGTTGACGAGATTTCGCAGTCTTCTCGTTCGGACGTTATTTCTTGTTCAATTTATTTGTTCTTATGACAAGAATTATTTATTTGCTACTATTTTCCCACCGTCTGCATCGCGATAAGATTTTTTTTTTTTTTAGTAAGGAATCTTTTCAGGCAGGGAGAGATAACACCAAATTCCTTGGCATGAATAAGAAAAAAAATAATAAGTATCATTTTTTTATTCTTTCCGAGAGATGATTTTTCTGCTTCTTATCCGTTATCAAAGCTTCGAAAATTTATGTCACGTCTCAGGTGTTTCGAAGCTTTTTCTACCGGTCTAGGAGGAAACTAATAAACGAAAAGATTTATTAAATGACATTCGTTCTCGTAAACGATTCGATGTTTCCGAGACAAAATATTCAACCATGTAGAAAGAAAGCGTTGGTTTGAATTGTTTATGTTAACAAGTTTTCGGTTATTTTGTTTTACGACGTGTCAAGCTTGTTGGTTTGTTTAATGGGAAGGGGACGTTACGGCGTAGCTCATTTGGCGTCGCTGACTCAGCGTGGCCGATTCCGTGCAGCCGACTCGACAGAGGAATTTTTCGGCAGAGGGACGATTAGGTGTCAGATTACTACTTCGTCGTTAGGGGCACCTCGGCGTGGTGTAATGGTTAGCAAGCTTGTCGTCTCGCTAGAACAATTACCACTGAGTAGTGAGTTCGATCCTCACTGGGTGCTCCATACTTCTGGCCTTGTGCCACATCTAAGCGATGCTTAGAAAATCATTTGGAAACTTTGTAATGTAATATAATGGTTAGCAAGCTTGTCTCGCTAGAACAATTACCACTGAGTCGTGAGTTCGATCCTCACTGGGTGCTCCATACTTCTGGCCTTGTGCCACATCTAAGCGATGCTTAGAAAATCATTGGGAAACTTTGTAATGTAATATAATGGTTAGCAAGCTTGTCTCGCTAGAACAATTACAACTGAGTCGTGAGTTCGATCCTCACTGGGTGCTCCATACTTCTGGCCTTGTGCCACATCTATGCAGCGCTTAGAAAGTCTCTACTACTTCGTCGTTAGAATCAAATTTGCTCTCTCTCTCTCTCTCATTTAGTAGTCAAATTAGTACTTCGGCATTATATGCTCGAATAGTCCAATCTAAGAAAAAAAGTAGTTGCAGGCATTTTTAAATTCAAGACTATTTGGAGGTACACTATTTACATTATTCGGACTATTGTCCTCATCTTTGTAGCCATATTTATTACAACGTTTCGGCCGTTGACGCTCTGGCCTTCTTCAGGTAGTTGGAATGTCGAACTGAACCCTTTATTTCGCTCACTGGGGTAGATTGTTCTAGTTCCACGTGCCATGTTTAATGGATGTCAGTTATCTCCTGTTAATTTCTCTCTGAAAGGTCTCCACTGCCTTCACCGGGTATTGAACTCACACTTTTTGGGTCCTGTCATTGGATCTAACTAACGCCTTTATCCACTGTGCCATGTGTCCTTTTATAATAAATATGGCGACATATGGTGACAAATAGTGTACATAATACCTCACCTCAGAAATATAGACAGATATTTGGAAATAGTTTTATATTATTTTTCCTTCAGTGTAACTTCATATTTTTCTCTCATCAAAGCCATTTTATTCCAAGATGGAAGTAACTATTTTATCAAAACGTGGAAGAAACAAAGTGATACACAATGGTTACCTTTTTATTTTTGACGCAACGAGCAAGAAAGATACTGAATTAAAGTTTTGGTGATGTGAATAGAAAGATGGATGTAAAGTGAGATTACATATAAAGGATGGAAAAATTTTTAATTTACATTTTTCCAATAGTGTTTTTATAGGAGCCTTAATTCCCTTAAATGAATAAAAAGTCATATTGAAAGTTGGGGGTTGTCAAGTCTTTTATCTTTTTTAGCGTTTGCCTCCGATCAAAGACAGTGACGTCGAAACTGCCCGACGCCTAAGCAACTGTGCTGAATAGTACAATTATATTTCTGACGCTGAATCAGCCACGCCGAGTCAACCACGCCAAATGGGCGACGCCGAATCACTCACACCGAATCTGCCACGCCAAATGCGTGACGCCGAATCAGCCACGCCAATTGGGGGACGCCGAATCAGCCACGCCAATTGGGGGACGCCGAATCAAACACACCAAGTCAACCACGCCAAATGGGCGACGCCGAATCATCCACGCCGAATCATCCACGCCGAATCAGCCACGCCGAATCAGCCACGCTAAATGGGCGACACCGAATCAGCCACACTGGATCAGCCATGCCAAATGGACGACACCGAATCAGCCACACTGAATCAGCCATGCCAAATGGGTGACGCCGAATCAGCCACACCGAATCAGACACGCCAAATGGCGACGCCGAATTAGCCACACCAAATGGGCGACGCCGAATCAGCCACACCGAACCAGATACGCCAAATGGTTGACATCGAATCAGCCACACTGAATCAGCCACGGCTTATCAGCCAAAGCGAATCAGCCACGCCAAATGGGCGACGCCGAATCAGTCACGCCAAATGGGCAATGCGAATCAGCCACACCGAACCAGCCCCGCCAAATGGGCGACATCGAATCAGCCACACTGAATCTGCCACGGCGAATCAACCAAAGCGAATCAGCCACGCCAAATAGGCGACGCCGAAACGTACCAAATCCTTGTTTAATATCTGAATCATTTTTTATATGTGATTCTGCAATTATTTATAGCCGCAGAATATGACACAAGATCGAGATGTAAATGTGCGCTATCAACAAAGCCGCGGATAAATTGCTCAAACACCCTAAGCACTTCTCCTTTTGGGGAGATCTCAGGCGCCTGGTAATGACAACAACCCCCAACAGAAGGAAAGCTTCTACCCTGTGGTCATAACCTACTGGGGGCTGAGCTAATATTATTTTTAACCTCCGGGTAGAAGGAAATTTCTCCGCGGGAGAAATGTTAAGTATTTTGGAATAGATAATAATGATCGTTTATTTTGGAAACTATACATACTACTTGGTTCTGGTATGATGATAAACTACATCCGGCAGCAAGGCCACTGATCGCGAGGTTTTGAGGGGCGTGGAACCACCTCTCAATTAATGTTGTTCTCGCGTCCATCCTTACTCGGAGCGATAGCACCTTTTCGGGTCCCAGCTATGGACAAATAGTGAAACTGAGGTCTAAACACCATGAAAGTGTGGAAGTATATATTTTATAGTGAACATGCCAGCAATACATTTTCATAGTAAAAAAGAAAACATTACCAGAAATACGTATTTGTAAAAAAAAAAACAACACTAGCAATACATTTTTTGTAAGGAAAAATATTAACAGAATTGAATTATTATATTATTGAAAAAAAAAAGATCAGTAATACATTCTGTCAGTCAGTTACGTCCCATACGTGATACACTCTTAAACGATACATGACTGACGAGGCAGATTTCTCCCGGAGTACGTTGCCATTTCTTTCTGCGGTAGACCAGTTGCCAACCAAGACTATAAAACCCGGTCTGTACTGCTATTTAGCCATTGCTATGGGGAGAAGAGGAGGATTCATACCTTTTCCCAAGGGTATTAGCACGTAATTGAATATAAGGGATTCGACTGGAATTCGAACTCGGCTCTCCGATTCCTCAATCCAAGCCGCTATCTCAGTAAAAGGCTTCGTAAACTTGAAAAGTAGTTCTATATAACTTCAAAAAAGGAATAATTCTCCTTTGATTGAGTCAGTCACTCAGTTATGTGCCATGCGTGATATACGCTTAGGCGATCATGTATCTTTTGATACATAACTGACGAGGCAGATTTTTTTTCTGCAGTAGGTTGTCATTACTTTTTGCGGTAGACCAGTTGCTATCCAATATAAAACCCGGTCTGTCCTGCTATTTACCCATAGCTGGGGAGGAGAAGAAAAGCATTCATACTTTTCCCAAGGGTATTAGCACATTATTAGATTTCAGTCAGTTATGTGTCATGTGTGATACACACTAAGACGATCATGTATCTTTTGATACATGACTGACGAGGCAGATTTTTCCCGCACTAAGATGCCATTTCTTTAAGTGGTAGGCCAGTTGCTATCCAAGAACCCGGTCTCTCCTGCTATTTACCCATAGCTGGAAGGGGGAGAAGAAGAATATTCATACATTTCCCAAGGGTATTAGCACGTTAGTGGGTTTCAGTCATTTATGTGTCATATATGATTTTGAAGCTATCCTTGAAATATAAATAACGAAAATGTCGTTATTTATATTTTTCTTTCTTTCTTGTGTCCATCATCGGCGGTGAACTTTTTTTTATTTTATCATTGGTGAACTCTTTTGAGCAGTGTTTGTGATATGCACTCTCTTCCTTTGTGAGTATTTTTCGAATCTCATTTGTGCCGTTTAAAAATGGCGTCCATAATGCTTCATACTTTCTCTCAATTGGTTTGAACTATATACTTCTTATCCAGTTCTAGAAGGGTCATGTATTAACCACCTCCGATATTATCCACATACACTTTACATTTTTTATTTTTCAGTTTGCTTCTGCCATGTCCGTCTTCCTTTCATTCTGAAGCTAATAATTCCTGTCATCTTTTTTATGGAGTTCCATTCATGTTACATTCCGTGCTAATAGGAATATATACTTGACAAACAAGGTGGATAAACTAAGTAAAGGTTTATTGTAAAAAACAGTACAATAAGAAATAAGGTAACAGTTATGCGCACGGTCGTCGCATGTCAATCCAGTAGTGAATGTTACTATTGTAAAGTCGGTAGTTCTCGCGTAAGTCTGAGTTGTACTCAACAGATGCTAGCTAGAAATATTTACCAGCCTCCCCACGAGATAAGATGTGGCACAAGGCCGAATTTAATGTGGGGCAAATAACGTTAGCTTGCATAAACGGGTTTGGAAAAATAATTTGATTTCCCCGGACGAGACTCTGCAAACAAAGGTATAGACTCGTCCGGGTTCCTTTTTCCGAAGGCAGAGAGTCCGACAATAAAAAGGATAACAGAAGACAGAAAGAAAGAAAGAAATAAAAGAAAGAAAGAAAGAAAGAAAGAAAGAAAGCGGAAAAAAGAAAGAATTTTTTGGAAGAATATAAAAAAGAATAAATAAAGAAAGAAAGAAAGAAAGAAAGAAAGAAAGATTGAAAGAAAGACAGGAAGGAAAAGGAGAAAAGAAAGAAAGAAAGAAAGAAAGAAAGAAAGAAAGAAAGAAAGAAATAGAAAAGAAAGAAAGAAAGAAAAGAAAATTTAAAAGAAAAAAAGAAAGAAAGAAAGAAAAAAAAAAAGGAAGAAAAAAAAGAATTTTGGGAATGGAGAAAGAAAGAAAGAAAGAAAGAAAGAAAGAAAGAAAGAAAGAAAAAAAAAGAAAGAAATAAAACGGAAAGAAAGAAAGAAAGAAAAAGAAAGAAAGAAAGAAAGAAAGAAAAAAAAAAAGAAAGAAAGAAATAAAGAGAAGAAAAGAAAATAAAGAAAGAAAAAAAAAAAAAAAGAAAGAAAGAAAGAAAAGAAAAAGAAAAATTCGGAAAAAAGAAAAGAAAGAAAACGGAAAAGAAGAAAGATAGAAAAGAAAAAAGAAAGAAAGAAAGAAAGCGGAAGAAAGAAAGAAAGAAAGAAAGAAAGAAAGCGAAAGAAAGAAAGAAAAAAAGCGGAAGAAAGAAAGCGAAAGAAAGAAAGAAAGAAAGCGAAAGAAAGAAAGATACGAATGGGAAGAAAAGAAACGGAATAAAAGAAGGCAAGGGACACAGAAGAAAAGAAAGAAACAAAGAAAGAATGGAAGAAAGTGTCGCTACCGACACCTGAGTTTGAACATATATCGTCAATGAGCAAACACAGGCGATCCCATTATTGAATTAAGTAGACCATGTGACCATAGAGGAAATGCATGTACGGAGTAAGTAGCTGACGACTAACGATTGCTATTACTCATCCATCACTATATGGAACGCTATTCTCTATTCTTTTCTCTACGCTATTTCTCTATTCGGATCACTATACGATGGTTACTTTCCGAGCAAGTATTATCGGCCAAGTACTATTATTGCAAGTGATATACGAAGGCGTCTGACACTAGTATTGCTGAACGCCTTCACTATAGTTGTATCTGCGATTACAAAGTCTCTACTACAACGAGTATTACAAAAGTTACAACGAGTATTCGTTGGCATTACAAAAGTGGCAATTTGATGTTCGTTGAGTCATTAAAAAGAAAGAAAAAAGAAAGAAAAGAAAGAAAGAAAGATTTTAAAAAAAAGAAAGAAAAGCGGAAAAGAAGAATTTTGAAAAAAGATTTCCGGAGCGGGAAAAAAAAAAAGGGAAAAAAGAAAAAAAAAAAAAAAAAAAGAAAGAAAGAAAGTAAAGAAAGAAAGAAAAAAAAAAAAGCGGAAGAAAGAAAAAAAGGGAAAGAATTAAAAAAAGAAAGAAAGAAAATAAAGAAAACTCCAAAAAAGAAAGAAATTTTTCGGGAAAAAGAAAGAAATAAAAAAAAGAAAAGAAATAAAGAAAAGAAAAAAAGAAAGAAAGAAAAAAGAAATGGAAAAGAAAAAAAAGAAGGCGGAAAAAAAGAAAAAAAAAAAAAAAAAAGAAGAAAAATTTTGAAAGAAAGAAAAAAAAAAAAAAAGAAAGACTGAATTTGTTGACTTTGAAATAGTTCAACTCCTTTCATTGTCACATAACTCCCATTGTGTATCTGGCATTAGCGAGTCTAGCAGATGACAAAGCTGGGGAAATCCAAAACGAGGACAAAACTAAAGTAACAGATTACTAAAAAAAAAAAAAGTTCTTTCTTCAATTTGGTGACACTAGATTTGTACTATTTGAGTACATCAATGTGCAAAACAACAATGTGTCCCCTGAGAGGAAACTGAAATAGTTGACATTGAAGTACACCGTTGTGCAAATTAGTTGAAACAACAGCTTTAATTTCCTTTCTTTCATCATACAGTCAGTTTTAGATCCACTGGAGTGACAAGGTGTAATCGATTTCTATTTTTTTCCTCAGATTAGGTCATCTGCAGTGGTGTGCAGTAATATGAATCTATTTTCGATAAATAGATAGATTGATAGAAATGAATGGATTGACATTGATAGATACACCCTTTTGCAAATTAATTGAAACAACCGCTTTAGTTTCCTTTCTTTCACCACCCGGTCAGTTTTAGACCCACCGGAGTGACAAAGTGGAATCGATTTCTATATTTTACTCAGATTAGGTCATTGGCAGTGGTGTGTAGTAATATGAATCTATTTTCGATTGATAGATAGATAGATAGATAGATAGATAGATAGATATGAACAGGCAGGGATAGATAGACCATTGTGCAAATAAATTGAAAATACACATTTAGTTTTCTTTCTTTCAATATACGGTCAGCTTTAGATCCGCTGTAATGACAGTGTGTGATCGATTTATTTTTTTTCATCAGATAAGGTTATTTGCTGTGGTGTGTAGTAATATGAATCTATTTTAGATAGATAGATAGATGTGGGATCATGTTGAGATCATAGACAGGGAACACCATTGGAAAATCCGTAAACTTAAGGAATCAGCACATATGCTAGGCCACAAAAATTTCCTGAGCCGACCAAGCATAGAAATAAATACAATATGGGAATCAGTATTAAGGAGTGCCAGAGAAAAGCAATGATAACAAAGTTGCAATATGAGTTCTGGTAAAGACATGCAATGATAACAACAAAAATTGCAATATGAGCACTGGTAAAAAATGATGCTGAAAACATTAGGTTTATAATACTCAGAAGTTCATACCCAGATGTCCTCAAGAACACATGGCATAAAGTGGATAAAGGCGTTGGTTAGATCCAGTGACAGACCCAAAAAAGGTGAGTTCAATACCCGGTTAAGGCAGTGGAGAACTTTCAGAGGGAAATAACTGATAACTGACATCCGTCAAACATGGCACGTGGAACTAGAACAGTCTACCCCAGTGATCGAAATAAAGGGTTCAGTTCGAAATTCCAACCACTTGAAGAAGGCCGAAGGCCGGAGCGTACAACGGCCGAAACGTTGTGACAAATATGGCGACAAAGATGAGGACAATAGTTCGACTAATGTAAATACTGTAGATAGATAGACAGATATGAATTCACTGAGATAAACAGATACACCGTTGTGCAAATTAATTGAACCAACCTCTTTAGTTTCCTTTCTTTCACCATACGGTCAGTTTTAGATCCATTTTTATCTTGCCATTGTTTCTGTATCTGGTCGGATGCATTTGTCTTTGCTGTCTTTTTTAAGTATTTTGTAGTTTCATTCGGTGTGCAGTGATTTACTCGTTACTTGAATACATTAGAAACTTCATTTTGAACTTGTTTTATTATTATTATCATTATTATTGGCAAGTGGCCGAGTGATTAAAACCTTTGCATTCTGACCATGAAACCCGATTTCGAATCTCACCACGGCTGATTTGTCAGAAAAGAGACTTCCTGGTGTTATCGGACTGGAGGGATTGATCCCAGCGTGAGGCACCCTTAGAAAGTATCTGAAAGCCCTACCACGGGTTGATCCAAGACTTGTGAGTGAAATCGGGGGACATCGATAGCTGTGCTAGCATGAAGTCACAAGTCATCGGGGCCGAGGGCATGAGCGTTCTAGCCTTGATAAAATTGTCGATCACACCAGATAACACGCTCAGAAACTGTAACTAATGTCTGCAGTATAAACCACACTCTGTTGAATAAAACACAAATGTGCCTGAGCAAGCGTATGCAATAGGGATTGGCTAGTCGTTCTAGTAGACGGGTAACCTCGAATACGCGTGGCCAGCTATATTATTATTAATATTAATCAGTTTTTTGCATCATTGTTAATATTATTAATGGAGTTCATATTATTATCATATCATCATTCACGCGTTTTCTTTTTGTTTTTTTTTCTTCAGCAAAATGGATTATGGATAGTGTTTTCGAAAATGCATTATGGATATTCAATTTATTGAAACAAAATGATGAAAAAATGGGATTGCTTTGACAGCAGAGGATCATTTTTAGTCACTATTCTCAATTGAGAAACCAGGACCAAAAATCAATATATAGGACACCGCAGAGGTAACATATTTCTGTTAATTGGACCATTAATTGAAACTATAAACGAATAATTTTTTATTATTTACTTTTTTTGCAAATTTTTCCAATGAAAACATGACCCATTTTTGTATTTTCACAATGTTAGTACTTTGTATGTCCATTCCACGAAGTCGTTCCTTGCAGATTGACCACAGATTCTCGATTGGATTTAAATCAGGAGAGTTTCCGGGCCAGTCTATAGTATTTGAATTGATTACCGGTAAGGCTTTCCAGGGTTTTTGTGCAGCGTTACAAATTTTCGTACGCTTCCTTGGAGTAACGTCCATCGCAGACAATGCCCATAGGACAACTAATCGACAGTCGAGACAATAGTGTCTGGGCGTGATGAAAATCTGATGCAATCACGGACGACGCAATATTTTTCAAGGCCAAACAAATTTCATCAACAACACAGAAAATAGATTCATATCACTGCACACCACTGCAAATGACATAAACTGAGGAAAAAATAGAAATCGATTACAACCTGTCAATCCAGCAGGCCCAAAAATGACCGTATGGTGAAAGAAATGAAACTTAAGCGGTTGTTTCAATTAATGTGCAGAAGAGTGTATCTGTCTATCCTAGTCTATTCATATCTATCTATCTATCTATCTATCTATAGGAAATATATTCATATTACTACGCATCACTACAAATGATATTAATCGGAAAAAAAATAAAAATATGAGTTTATATTTGTTATTTGTGATCTCAAGCAGCTAACATATTTTGCAGTGTCAGGCAATGAAGACTTCTGAAGCGATGGGATACTGAATATTATTCCGATTTTACTAATGTAGGTCTTTAAGTTCGGTAACGTCTCAATGTTAACCAAGACAATACTGGCCTTGAACGTCCCATTTCAAAAAAAAAATAAATCCGTCGATTAAAATCATAAAATGATGGTTGATTTTCTTTTGTGGCATATCAAAACCTCTGGGGGTTATATAATGTAGAAACCTAATAGTTTGAAAACGATTTTATGGCCTCAAACTCAATATACTTTAAACTTAATTTAAATCAAAATAATGAACTAAAAGAAAAAATATATTAAAATTTTTATTAAATATATTTTGTTTAATTTTGAAGAAATTTGTTTTATTATAACAAAAAAAAAAACCAATGTCATTTTATAAAAAATAGATAAACAAAAAATTTTATAATAAAAAATATCCTATGCTAATAATTTTATTTATAAAATATATTTTAATGCCGGGAATAGTTTTTTTTTTTTTTGAGAGTTTTTTGATTTGTCCATAAAATAGGACCCTAACAGGTGCTAAAAGATCCGGAAAAGGGTGGACTGAAAAACAAAGAATAAATTAAAGGGAGAGATATTAAAGACAGTCAAAAACATTAATTTAGATGATGAGACAAAAATTTCGTCCTGGGTATGACGATAGACTATAAAATAAAAAAAGTAAGACGATAAACTATGTCCAAAAAGCAAGGCCTCTGATCAGGAGTTTGGAACCAACTTTAATGTTGGTGTAAAAAATGATTTTGAACCAGGGTGGTAAAAAAATGTCTTAAAAAATAAAGCTATGGGCAAATAGTTAATATGAAATTGATTTAAAAAAGACAATAAAAAATGTAAAAATAGGTTTTAAATAACAGAAATATTTTAAAAAAAATTATTACCAGAAATAAATTTTTTGAAAAAAATATTTTTGTTTTATTACCAAAATTTATTAAAATTTTTGAAAAAAAAATTACCAGTAATAAAATTACATTTTTGAATAAAAAATATTATCAGAAAAAAATTTTTTTAAAAAAAAAATATTACCAGGAAAAAAAAAAATTGTCGGCATTAAATAACCCATTGAGGTTGATTTTTAAAAAAAAAAACGAAAAAACGAAACCAATTAATAAAATTTTTTTCGGCATTAAATAACCCATTGAGGTTGATATGCCGTAAAAAAAAAACCAGCAATAAAAAAAATTGTCGACATTAAATAAATCATTGAGGTTGATATATAAAAAAAAAAAAAAAAAAAAAATAAAACAAAAATCAAAAAAATCTTGTCATCAAAAAAATAAAAAAAATTGAGTTGATATAAATAAAAAAAAACAAAATTAAAACGAAACAATTTCAAAATAAAATCTTGTCGACATTAAATAACCCATTGAGGTTGATATGTTAAAAAAAAAAAAAAAAAAACCAAAATAAAAAATCTTGTCGGCATTAAATAACCCATATTGAGGTTGATATGCCGTAAAAAAAAAAAAACAAAATGAAAAACCAGCAAAAAAAATCTTGTCGGCATTAAATAACCCATTGAGGTTGATATGCCGTAAAAAAAAAAAAAAAAAATTAAAACCAGCAATAAAAATTTTGTCGGCATTAAATAACCCATTGAGGTTGATATAAAAAAAAACAAAATAAACGAAAAAAAACCAGCAATAAAAATCTTGTCGGCATTAAATAACCCATTGAGGTTGATATATGCCGTAAAAAAAAACAAAAAAATGAAATACCAGCAATAAAAATCTTGTCGGCATTAAATAACCCATTGAGGTTGATATGCCGTAAAAAAAAAACAAAAAAAAAATAAAAACCAGCAAAAAAAAATCTTGTCGGCATTAAATAACCCATTGAGGTTGATATGCCGTAAAAAAAAAAACAAAAAAAAAACAAAAACCAGCAAATCAAAAAATCTTGTCGGCATTAAATAACTAAAAATTGAGGTTGATATGCCGTAAAAAAAAAAAAAAAAAAAAAACCAAAAACCAGCAAAAAAAATCTTGTCGGCATTAAATAACCCATTGAGGTTGATATGCCGTAAAACAAAAAAAACCAAAAAATAAACCAGCAAAAAAAATCTTGTCGGCATTAAATAACCCATTGAGGTTGATATGCCGTAAAAAAAAAAAACCAAAAACGAAACCAGCAATAAAAATCTTGTCGGCATTAAATAACCCATTGAGGTTGATATGCCGTAAAAAAAAAAACCAAAAAAACCAGCAAAAAAATCTTGTCGGCATTAAATAACCCATTGAGGTTGATATGCCGTAAAAAAAAAAACCAAAAAATAAACCAGCAATAAAAATCTTGTCGGCATTAAATAACCCATTGAGGTTGATATGCCGTAAAAAAAAACAAAAAACAAAAAAATAAACCAGCAAAAAAAATCTTGTCGGCATTAAATAACCCATTGAGGTTGATATGCCGTAAAAGAAAACAAACAAAAAACCAGCAAAAAAATCTTGTCGGCATTAAATA